AAGTGTTTATACTGCTTTAGTTTTGCAGTCTATGCAGTAAAGAGATCATACATTGTGCTGAAAATGAGGCCATGGGACTACTACCCAGTGGTAAAATCAAGTATGAAACAAACTTTGCCTTATCTTTGAGTGGATGTAATTAACTATACTACGAACCACATAGATTTTGTTTATGTGAGACTGAACCACTCCAGCTGCTTTATCATGTATATCTTCAGAGATTCTTGGAGTTCTGACAAACTGCATTTCAGATTTGCTTTTCTTTGATTTAATGGGGATATTCTTAATAAAACTCTTACAAATTGTGATTATCTATGTAGGATGTTTATCTGTAACTTCAGTTTTAAATAATCTCCAGGTGTTTCTACTTCCCTTTCCAGTTTCTTCAATGAGAAGACATAATTTTCCTTTTTCCTTCAGCRATGTCCACAAATAGGTTAGATTTTTTTTTTTGTGATAATCTATGATTATGGCAAGTATTTGGTATAGTCTATGTGTATCTTACGTTATTATGCTTCAGGATTTCTCTTGCTATGTACTGCCCCATTTTTTCAGCTGCATGCATGTATTTTCCAGTTTCACATTTTCATAATGAAGGAACTGGAACTGTACACAGGACTCAAGTGCAAAGAGATTTACGTGGGGTTGTAATGAGCTTTTCTGCTTTRTTTTCTGCATCTTTTGAAGCAATTTCTAACACTGTTTGTCTTTTGGACTACTGCTGAGTACCAAACCAATGTTTGCAGAAAACTACTCACAATGACTCCAAATAATAAAGGCTAATTTATAGCCCATTATTATGTATGTTTAGTTAGGGTTATTTTCACTACTGTTTACATTAATTTCCAGTTATTGACATAGACTTTCAGCCACCATGTCATTGCCCTGTTGCTCACTATTGTCAGATTCTTCTACATCTGCTCAGTCAGTTTTTGTTTTGCCTACCATGAGTAATTTTGCATCATCAGGAAACTGTGTTGTCTTTACACAAGTAATTTGAGGCAATTTAGGTGCAGAAGTGCTMATCCAGAAGTATTCTAAGCAATTCAGCCCTCAGGAGGACTCAAGAGGAAAGTAAATAGTGTTGGGTGGTCTGTTTCTATCAAGGAAAGGGGATGTTGATCTGGTTACCTGATGTCCTAATGGCAGCTGTGCTTTTGGATGCTTTTGGATTCCTGGAGATGGCTCTCCAATCTTCTGGCACTCCCCTACTCTAGGGCACATCCCTTTTCCATCTGCTGCTGCCTGCCTTTCTCCTTTTGCAGCTTGTGCCTGCTATGAGCCTGCCACTGCCTCCCAAGCTCTCCCTGTGCCCAATTTGTTTACTATCACACACTCTTTAATGCTCCTTGGTGCTCTGCTTCATGCTTTTTCTTCAAAGTACTGCAGTTCACTGCTTAATACTACTGTACTCACAGTTTTTTTATAATTCAATGAATTGGCAAAAAAGGCAAGGTGTAATATACAGAAATCCTTATTAAAAACATGTCTTCTACCTAAGCCTTGCCTAAGGGTAGTGTTTTGTCAAACACACACACACCCCCTAACAATAAATGACATCAATGAAACAACAGTATTACCTGTTACAGGAGAAAATTAAAAGTATTTTCTTAAGGTTCTGTTAGTAAATATTTTCAACACTCTTAGCTCTGCTTATCCTCAGCATATGGGTAGTAAGCAAACATTTAATTTTATATTTAGTAAACTTTCCTGCTGTCTGAATTAAAGAATGGGAATGACTACATTTATCTAAGAAACAGTTCTAAATAATTAAGACCTTAGAAGATGAGGGTACCTGTGTGTATACCTAGCACTTTGTCTTCCACCATGTATGTAACATAACTATTATTTTAAAAAAATGTTTAAGGTGTCCTTCTACATGTTTGTTTCTCTTTGGTTTAAGCATAGGCAAATTAGTGAAAAATCTCTGTAGAATAGCCWCTTAAGAATTTGGTCTCAAGATCATTAGAGAATATTAAAGAATAAGTTGTTCAGAAACAAGTGGGCTAATGACAACAGTTTTCTGGAATTTCCTTCTGGTCCCAGATGTTGAGCAGCCTCCTGTCTGAAATGGTGTTGAATGGTGACCTTAAGACACCTCTATCTCTTTGCCCTGWTGCTTATTTCTTTTGGAAGAAAAATAAGTGACTACATTCCTGCTATTATTAAATGTTTGTAAGAGACTTAAAAATCCTAACACTGTTAAGATCATCGAAGGACTGCCCGCTATGGCAAACGGTCTGAAGAAGCTGTGGGAAGCCCGCCCTGCCCGAATCTGGGAAATTGAACTGTAAGTTCTAAGACACCTGTTGGGAACTTGAGCTAAAACAAAGATGGTACTACTGTTCAATTATCTCTGGGCAAAAGAGAAATGAACAAGGCTGGGGTAGAAGAACTATCCACAAGGAAAGCCARCTCTGCAGTGTGCTGGGCAGTCAGMTCTGGCTGGGTGTGGYGGGGGAAGCCAGAGGCACTCATTTGCTGAGGCCAGGTTTGTGCACTCTTTCCCCCGCAGCCGAGGTGGGGCAGGAGCAGTTTTGGGGGTGCGGGGGTGAAGCCTGTGCTCTGCGTAGGATAGAGGGAATGAGCACCCACCCTCGGAGGCTACAAGCYGGGCTTTGAGCCACATAACAAGCCGTCCCTGCAGAGATGGGGTGTTGTTTTAATCACGCCAGTTGTCTGCCTGCACACAAGCTGGCCCAGTTGTGAAATTGCTGCTGCTCCTCCTCGGGGAAGGTCACATCCGCACGGGACATTCACCGGTCCGAGGTGGGGCGTCCCTTGTGCTGGACAGAGCTGGTTCAGCTGCGCTGATGGCAGAGGCAGCTCTCGGGCTGGGAGGGATCGTAACCCATCAAAGAGCTCCGCAGCACCCCCAGACTCACTTCTGAGGCCTTCCACCGAAGGACTGCACGGGGTCCACAATGTTGCAAAAGACAGTGTAAAATCTCCCATGGACACCCGAAGGTATTAACCSATGGAACTCTACATTTCATGGCCCGCTCCCGACTGAGAATAGCAGAAGAGGAGTAACGGGAGTACCATCTGGATCCATGAGTGGTGATATCTTTCTACCCCAGTGATGTCTTTCTGTGCTTTTCTTCCCTCCCCACTCCCCCGTCCCCTTCTTTTTTTCTATTTTTTTCTCTCTGCCACACCCCCCCCCCATTTACTGATAAATAATACCCATGCAATTGACTTTGGCATATGGTCTCATTTGCACCTTAACTGGGAGAGAGGCATTGCTCTCTAATGATCCAATCTTAATGTGTTCTATAATGTATATGGCTTCTTACTTAATCTTTCTGTGGCTTATGTATGAAAACTTGCTCTGACACCCGCCAAAGTCCCGCTTAATGATTTTGCTGCTCCAGCTCTTAGAAACTGAACACGAAAAAGAAAAAGATGCGTTAGTTAATTTCCTAACTTTATTCAACCACATTCAAAATGAAATGGATTCAGCTGAGAAAATRAAGCKYTTTTTTYCCCYARTAAGTTATCCTAGAAGTTACACAAAAAGTACTGTGTCAAGGGATCCTTCTGTGTTGGTCTGCTTTAATAGGAAAATGTCTCTGGCTTTTGTATACCAGAGTCCCCAAAATGATCCTTTGTTGCACAATGCTGCTGCAAAATCTGCCTGTATGAGAAATGGAGAAAACATAAACCAGCATCATGCAGCCTGTTTGTCTTTGCCTAAAGAATAGTGTAGGTTCAATAATGTATAGAATGCTGTAAATCTACTTTTTCTTCAGAAGCATTTGCCCCTTTCCCCATTCTCTTATTGGAATTTGCTGGCAGTGGCATCTAAATTGATTTTCTTGGACGACAAAATCTATTTCCAGTCTTGTTACCATGAACCAGAGAGCAGGGCTAAGTAAATAGTAGGAGTACAGTTTGCTAAAAGGCGCCTGAAAGCCATCTCCGGTGGGCAAAAGTATGCCAGCTCTGGRGACAGGGAGTGACCCGGCTCCAGCAGGACGCGGGTGCCAGAGGCAAATCACTCACCAGACAGATGAGCCGACAGCCTGTCTGCTCCACAGCAGAGTGACCTGTTCCACTCCACAGGTTCTCTACACAAGACAGTCCAGCTTCCCCTTTCCGAAGGTGTGTCTAAGCTATCAAGTATGTTGTAAAATCTGTGACGGAGGACCTACAGGGAAAACACACCACCACCACAGCCACCCTCAAAATAATACCCCAAAACAACCACAAAAAAAAGCCCCCCAAAACCAACCCACCAAAAAGAAAGGCCCCAAAAATCTAATACAAATAGATCAAAGGAATCGTTTCTACGGCAGCTTTCTGGTGCATGTAACGTTGTTTTTACAGCCACCTCCCATTATCGTAGAACAAAGATTGATCAGCTAACGCAGTGACCACTGCGGRAGGGTGACGGTGCGAGGCTGGGTGTCGCGCTTGTGTCACCAAGCCTTGAGGGTGGGGAAAGGCCCTTACGCTGCTGGTGACAGCCCCGTCCACCGGCGGTACCCCTTTGTCTGACACCATCCTCCCGCCCCTGGCACGGAGGTCCCTGTCGCTCCAGCACAGCTCCACTGTCGCCCACGTGCTTTGCCGTTCAATTCCAGCCCCGATGTCACGACTGAAGCCCGTCAGGCGGTCCCCGCCGCTGCCCCGTTTCTCCGCCGCGCCGGCGGCACCCTGACCCGGGGCTTGGCTCGGCGCACCGGGGCGGCTGCGGGAGCGGAGGGCGAGGTACCGAGCCGAGCCCCGGCGCCGCCCCGCCGCTGCGCGCACAGGGCCGCGGCCGCGCTGGGCTGAGCATCCCTGCACCGCCAGCCCCTCGTCAGCCCGGTCCCGGCACCCGTCCCCGGCACCCGTCCCCGGCACCCGTCCCCGGGCCCGTCCCGCTGCCGCAGGTGGGTACGGCCGGGCGAGGGCACCTTGGCCGGCGGGCGGAGGCGGGGGGCGGCGCGGCGGGGCTGCGGCGGCGCTGCCCGCCCCCTCCCTCCCTCCCTCTCTCCGTCAGGCGGGCGGGGAGCTGCGGCGGGAGGGAGCGGGAGCGGCGGGGCGCAGCCTCCCGGGCCGCAGCGGGGATGCGCCGCGGATCCCGGCCAGGAGGTGGGCGCTGAGCGGCGGCGCTGGGGGCGCGGTGCGGGGCCGGAGCGGCGGGACCGGCCGTGCGGGGAGCCCCGGGTCAAGGGGTGCTGGTGCCGGGGCTCGGCGGCCCGCGGGGGATGCGCGGTGCCGGGGGCTCCGGGGCTGGGGCCGGGGCTGGGGCTGTGGCTGTGGCTGGGGCTGTGGCCCGACCGTGGCTCTGCGGCCCCGGGGAGCAGCCGGAGCATCCGGACAGGAGGGGCCGGGCCGGGGTTACGTAACGGCATCCGCGCAGCGAGATGCGCCCCTGTCAGCCCCGGCTTCGCTGGCGCTCCCCGAGGTCGTGATTTTTTCGCCCTTCCCTGCAGAGCAATTTAAAATGCTCCAATGAATGGTGTGGTCTGTGAGATTCAGTTGCAGATTAGCTATTGCCAAGTTGATGTGCTCTTAGGATACCTTTTCGTTTTCGTTCTGTTTCTTCCCGAAAAAAGGCAGGAATGGCCTGTGTTCCCAATTTGCTAGCAAGGCTGTGAATCCCTTCCAAGTACTTTGAAGATGTATGGATTCATTAAAACTGTTGTTTGGAAATCATGTGTTTGCCAGAAGTGCTGATGCTGAAAATGACTGTATGACGTGAGTTTTGCCATTGGCTCGTCATTTCATGTCAGTTTGTAATTGCTGTCGTGTGCTTGGAGGATACATTGGTGATTTTCTTCCCGAAAGCTTCAGCAATGCAGGTGCTATGGACTAACAGTAACTGAAACAAAAGACCTTGCTGGGCTTCCCAGAGCAAATTAGGAAGCCAAGGTCGAACAGCAAACATCAGTGCAACTTGTATGGGGTAGCGTGACAGAACAAAAGTGTTCGCAAAYCTTATTTGAGAATTTAAGTGAAAAGTGTTCCTTAAATAGACTATTACTCAGTAGATGAAAAAAAAATTAGTGAAGGTGTGAGGAAATAGCTATTTTAGGACTACAATTAACTATATCAGCTCAATTTTAATGGAACTAGTACATTTAATGGCATTCCTAACAGATTTTCTGTTCTCTAGATGATTAACTTGCRGAATGATACCAGCTCAAAGATTAAAATCTCATCAAATATCTAATGGTTTCTGTACAGYGTAATTGTGTTTGGTTTATAATAGTTCTTTTCTACTAACCAGCCTTTGCCCATGCAGCTGTAGAYACTATAATTAGAGTTTTTTATCTTAGTGTAAATGACATGACCTTGACCTTTAGAGGTTTAGTAGATGTCATTGTTATGGATCTTATATATTTAGTGAAGCATCTTTATGTATGTATAATAAATAGGATTTTCTTTTCTGTTTTTTTTAAACTATACAAGGAGACTACTTTATCTTGTCTCCTTAGATAAATTATGAGAGATGTGTAAAATGCTGATTATTTAAAAACCCTAAAAGGTTTATATTTAAACTACTTTTTCTTTACAAGTACATGGCAAGATGTTTGTTTGGAAAACAATATTGGAGGGTTTGTTACTGAAGACTCCCCAAACATTTCCCCTTGCTACTAAGGGCTGAAAGAGGTCCCTTTTGTTGTACTGTAGTTCATCAAGCTTGCTTCTTCCACTTCTCATTAATTTGCTATTGGGGTCCCAGATCCTCTGTGGTGCTCAGTGCTGCACTGTTGAAGGCCCTGCTTGCATCCTTGCTTATTGCTGGCAATTTCTTGTTCTTATCCTCATCCTGGGAGCTTCTTCGTAAATGTCTGYGATGCAAAGATTGGTTTTCAAGTGCTTGCAGGAACATGTTTGGGGCTTTTTTTCCAACTGCTGGTGTCGAAGGGCTGTACTCTGTATATTTATACTTTTTTTTATACGACCATCAAAAACATAACTTTGCTCACAGGTGTGAGTGTTACTGTGCATCTGAGCCACCATTCATRCATTCATTCATACATTACAAAGCCCCCATGGCCATGGAAGGGTAAAGCTCTGTGATTTCTGTAGTTGGGGAGTTCCTTGCCTTGGGCTCTGTTGCAAGTGATGGTAGGCATGACACTGCTCTCCTTTGCCACTTCTTCCTCCAGTCCACTCTGGAGATGAAAGCAGAGGATGTTCATAGTTCTGCTTAATTTTCCTTTTGTGCTCTGGCATGTGTGTGAGATGAGCACATGTGTGCAGCCCTGGTGCTGTACATTTCAGCTGAGCCACGGTCTACCTATGGATTTCTTAGTGTGACAGAAGTGAATGGTTTTGCTCTTGTTTTGCCAAATACATGTGATATCAGCAGAGGTTTTTCTCTG